AGATTTTCAGGTTTTCACATATTTATTCTATCTACATATATATTCTATCTACTTTGAAGTTTTAAATTTTATATTCACAGATAAAAAATATTTTAAGGCTAACACATATATTTTCAGTATTGAAATAACGTTTCTCCACGCTATTTGAAGGTGGACTGGACTCCAATTTGATTGTTTAGAGCCTCGGCTCTGTACAAACCGCACCCTTCTATTTGAGTTTCAACGATCTAAACAAAAGAATCCCATTTCCCGTCATTTCTGTCTGAACTCCATTCTGCTTCCCGTAAAAGGTGGCCACCATGAAAACCAAAACCCTAGTTCTAGATATGCTTCTCACTCATAGGTTCCGTAAATATAAACCCTAACCGTATTTCCTTCTTCCTCTTTCATGGTAGTTATCGATGCCTGATTCTCCAAATTATGGACCTTACTGTAGATTCTAACCATCTTCATGGCGTGTTTTTCTTTTATGGATGAATTACCCTAAGAATTAACCCTAATAATCCTTCCATGGCGAATATTGAGCTAAAGGACCGTACAGTTCTTGAAGTGGTTGCAGAGTTCGATCCCTTTGCGACTTCAGGTTTTCGACCATTAACTCCTCGTCTAATTCGTTCTCTGTCCGTCGCTGTGAAAAATTCTTCTGAAACGCTGGTTTATGTTGGCACGATTGATGGTAAGGTCATTTTGCTCTCCTTTAATTCTTCATCCAAGACCACTTCTTTCGTCAAATCTGTAAATGTGAGTAGTAGCTCGATTGTTTCGATTCATATTTTAGCTGGAATAGGTCGAATTGTAGGGTTAACAGATAACTATGTCTTCTCCTTTGATTCTTATTTGACTGAGCCTATGCGTAGAATAGGGTTTTTGAAAGGGGCAAGTGTTCTAGCAATGAGATATCGATCCCCCAATCCTGAAAACTCCAAGGAATCAAAGGATCTCAGAGGACCTAGTGTTAATGGCACAAGGGTAAGGTTTTTGGAGCCGATATCTTCGCAGTTTGCTGCAGTAGTTGGAAAGAAACTAATATTGTTTGAGATACGTTTATCTGGTAGAAGTGATCGGAACATTGATTTTTCGGGGAAAATATATGAATTTGGGAGCTTTTATGCCTCCATTCTTAAGGATTTTCAGTGTGCTGATGGGATCTCAACCATGGCTTGGATCGACGACTCTGTAATTGTTGGCACAAATGGTGGATATACACTTATTTCTAGTATTACAGGAAGGGATACACTCATTTTTTCACTACCTGAATCATCGGGTCACCCATATTTGAAGCCATTTCCAATGCATCGGGAATTGTTATTATTGGTTGACAATGTTGGGGTTATTGTTGATGGTCATGGGAACCCAATTGGGGGAAGCTTGATTTTCAGAAGCAATCCTGAATCTATTGGTCGAACTAAGACACATGTGGTAGCTGCAAGCAATGGAAGGTTGGATGTTTATCATAGAAAGACTGGTTCTAGGGTTCAATCCATAGTGCTGGCCAGCCATGGAAGTGGTGGTCCTTTGGTTATGGCCAATGATGAGAGTGGGAGTGGAGAACTTCTCATGGTTTCTATGGCTTCTAAGGTTGGTCTTCTCTTTTCCTTATTTCTTTGGTCTTTCTTTTTTGTTTTGGCCCTGCATTGTTAAGTTTTAGTTTCTATGTGATCTTTGTAGAATGAAATTTTTTGGCTTAAATAATCATTTTTTAATGGAGAACCGAGTAACCATTGAGAGTTTAGGACAAGCTTCGCACTTTCATGCAGTTCAATACCTGAATTGCTAATTTCTTGTTAGATTGGCATCAACTGATTTATAAAGTACAAGTATGGTTGGGTTGCAGCAAAATAGAATCGATTGTTTGTGTTATCTTTTGAGATTTGCATAAACATATTTGTAAAGTTAGATTTGCATCGACATATTTGTAAAGTACAATCATTATTGTATTCAGTTAATTGCACATAATTCTCCCAGTAAGGGGCCTCTGCTAAGCATGCTTTAACAAAGTTCAAATATTCATGGCATTGATCACATATTCTTATGACTTCTAAAACTACCGTTCATGTATCAGATTTGTTTCCTGTCTCAAGCGTCTGCAGAAGAACAGATTAAGGACTTGTTGAGGAAGAAATTTTTTAAAGAAGCCATTTCCTTGATAGAAGAACTGGAATGTGAAGGTGACATGACGAAAGAAATTTGTTCTTTTGTGCATGCCCAAGTGGGTTTCTTGTTGCTTTTTGACTTGCATTTCGAGGAAGCAGTGAACCATTTTTTGCAGTCAGATACAATGCAGCCATCTGAGATCTTTCCATTCATAATGCGAGATCCAAATCGCTGGTCACTTTTGGTTAGTGCCCTACTTATTCATCTCCCCATGGTTGTTATTTATTTCCAACTGTCCATTTCCATGTAAGAATTGCTCATCAAAAAAGAAAATCCTATTTTTATGGGTGGGTTGAAAAAGCAAATCCTAGTTACCATTGTACTGTAAAAACAACTTATTAAATGACACTGTAGGCCCATTATACTTCATGTCCATTAACAAATAATTGACTTCATTCTCAAACAAAATAAGTTTATCACATATTCAAAGAAAATTCGTGCATGTCAGGTACCTAGGAATCGTTACTGGGGCTTGCATCCTCCTCCGATACCTCTTGAAGATGTTGTGGACAATGGTTTGATGGCTATTCAAAGAGAAATATTTTTACGGAAGGCTGGAGTGGACACGGGAGCAGATGATGGTGTTCTTTTGAGTCCTCCGAGCAGGGCTGAGTTATTGGAATCAGCCATCCAAAACATTGTTAGGTCTGTATATTTTGTTTCAATTGCATGGAAGTTGCAATGATGCTATGTCTGATTACCATTTACTTCTTTTCAAAGCTCAATTTCTTGAAAAGTGGTAGAAGCTGAAAAGTACAAGTGGATAGAGGCTTAAAAACAAAAAGATGTATAAGTAGTTTTCCTGGATACAAAAATCACAACTAAAGCGTAAATATAAGGATTACAGTCATTGACTATGTGATGTCTCTGTAACCTGAGACTTGGCACCTTTCAGGATGATTATTGAGGAAACATTTACATCATTTCACTACAGATTAAGCTTCGTATCAGATGCATGTTGCACTAAGCAAAGTAAGATGCTTCATAATTATTGCACGATCCCCTTGACCAAGCGTTCTAGTTGTATTATATTTTGGATTCATGTACTTTGGTAGTTATGTGTCCCTCGGTAATATTTTGCGTTTAGAACATCTCTTGGTACTGCTTGACTCCAGGAATGCTGACTGCCCAAGTTGTAGCCCATCCTTTTTGCATTGAAGTTTTCCTCATCCCCCATATTCTATCTTCCTGCTGCAGTGTACCTCCACCTCTTGATGCCTGGCAAGGCCATCAATCTGTTTGCAGTCACTGCTAAGTGGAGCATGTCGTGTATGATGTAGTACCAAGGGCTTGTTCCCTACACAAGAGTGGCAAAGGCTTGTCGGCTGTGTCTGAGGTTGAGGGTGGATTATTGTCTCCTATATTAAGTATGAGTGGATGGTAAGACACCTGAAGGGGATAAGTTTAGGCTAGGTCCATGGAGGAAGGTTTTGTGAGGTTAAGGTAAATTATAGGGCTTTAGTAGAGGTAAGAGTAGCTGGGATTTAGCAGGCCCAGCTAGATGAGGTGGGTTCTAGCTTGAATCAGGGAAAATCAAGGGTTTAAACTTAACTTTGAAAATATCGAGGTTGTGTATTGATGGGGGTTGTAATGAGGATGAGGTAGATTAGGTAAAGTTTGGGAGGTCTGCACTTTGACTCCAGATCTCTGGTCTTCTTTTCAGTTGAAAAAAGAAACAATTTACTTGCTATTTCTGAGCCTTTTATCTTTGTAAACTTCCTTATTTGTACATTTTCATTTGAATACCTCTTTTGATGTTCTCTTTTGGGATGGGCAGGTCAGCATTCTCATTGTTGCTTCAATCATCATATAATCATTTTATTATGCATTCAGGTATTTAGAGGTCTCACGAAATAAGGATTTGGACTCTTCGGTGAAGGAGGGAGTAGATACCCTTCTGATGTATCTGTATAGAGCCCTCAATCTTCATGTAGAAATGGAGAAGCTGGCATCATCTCAGAACAATTGTGTTGTGGTATGCTTCATTACTTCTCTTATATTTAATAGCTCTATTATGAGATGATTGTCTATTTGATTTGGAATAGATCTGGGCTTTAGTTTAGGGTAGCTTAGGCCTTGAGGCCGCACTCCACTTGTTAATGCTGTGTAGCAATTAAGTCATAATTTACTGCAAGATAGGAATGACAAAGTGGTGCTTGATGGGGGTGGTGACACCGCAACTTGCATGTGCAGTGCAGGAGGAGTTAGAGACTCTTTTAGAAGACTCTGGGCATTTACGAACACTTGCTTATCTTTATGCAAGTAAAGGGATGTGCTCAAAGGCCCTGGATATTTGGCGTATCTTGGCACGCAATTACTCAGCTGGCCTTTTGAAAGACCCCCCAGCTGGACTGGATGTTCAGTATAGTTTTATGAAATCATTGTCCGGCCAGTGGGCTGCTGCAACAGAAGCATCACATCTTCTTGAGGAGTCTTCTGACCAAAAGTTGGTCCTGCAACATTTAGAATGGGTGAGTAACATTTTTATTGCGGAATATAGTTTTAGCAAGTGATTGATAAATTTCTTTTCTCTCGTTCATTGACTAAGTAAGAACTTATACTTGGTCTTTCCTTTAGATTGCTGATGTTGATCAGGAGCTTGCAGTTAGGGTTTTAACTTCAAAGAAAAGGATTGATCAGCTTTCTCCAGGTATCTGTGTTTTTTTCTATCATAGATCATATTCTTTTTCTTTTTAAAATTAGTGGAACACTTATTTGTTGAACCAATTTGGCAATTTATTTATTTTTGTCTTTTTTGGGATTAGAACCTATTTGTCCCTAACGATCTTTTCTTTTCATGCTGCATTAACTTTATGTGGCTTCCGTGTAAAGTTCATCTATTGATATTCTTTTGGATTGCCATTTTTTGGTATGTCTGACTTTGATGAGGCACCTGGTTTGTGCTTTGCCATTTACTTTTAACCATGTAAAGCTCCACGTTCTATTTAATACAAGCCAGCAATTCTAAAAAAAAGTTTAAGTTCTTTTGGATTGCTAGTTAAGTATTTACTTCTTTGGAGTGAAGGTTTTAAATGCCCTTGGAAGCTAGAAAATGTGTTTGATGAGATTTTTTATCGTCTTAGTGCCATTGAGTAGGACTGAGTCTTGTCATGTCTATTCGGAGTTTAATGAATATGCGTACTCCCCAATAATGGGCAAGGGAAATGCAGAACTTCTTAGGTGATAACCACTTACAAGGCTTAACTTGTTAGAGCAATTTTTGGAGAGCTTTGAATTTGTTATATTTGATGAGTCTTTTATGCTTAGAATAATTTCTGTACAAGAGAATTACGCATGTGCACACAATTTCGAATCAATGAAATACCGTTGACATTCAAAGAAGAATATTTCACTCCTATAAAAAGATTCCTAAATGGACTATTATTACCTAAAAATAATAATAAATCCCTTGGGTTATTGAACTTTTTTTACGTATTGACCTTTGGTCTTGTTGTTGAACTACTTTTGAGTTGGCTAACCCATAGTTCAAAAATCGGACCGCCCAGCGCCTAGGTGGCTGCCCAAGCGGTTCAGAAGGCCTGGGTGCATCGCCCAAGCCTAGGCGGTCAAACTGGGCGGTCTTCCCTGGGCGGCCGCCTAGCGCCCAGCCATGGGCGGCTGGCCAGGGCTTGCGCCCCGCCCAGAGGCGGAAAACTTTTTTTTTTCATTTTTTTCTAAGATATAAAATTTAAGAATGACGGCTTTTAGGTTCATTTGAACCCTAAACCCACCAGAACCCCTTTTAGAGTAACAGAAACCTCCAAAAAACTACATTTCATTGGATCAAATCATCGAAGTATTTCTCAAAGTTTGGAGTTTAAGCAACCAAAGTAAGTGCATTTTTTAGATTGCTTGTTTTATTTTGAGATGTCTTCTTCAGGAGTTAGTCAGAGTGGATATCCGGGTTGAAAATATGGATACAACCCGAATCTAAATAACAAAAATTGCGTTGGATGCAATTTTTATGAAAAAGATACGAAAGGAGGCATAAACTGCTTTTAGAAACATCTTGTCGGTATTAAGGGGGATGTTGCCCTTTGTAAAAATGTTCCTGAAGCTATCAAGGAGGAGATTAAGCAATTTTTAAGTTATAGAAAACAAAAACGAGTACAAAATCCTTGTCATAGATCTATTTCTGCTACTCTTAGAAAAAGTGATCCGGGTTGAAAGTATGGGTCCAACCCAAAACCAAATGATAAAAATTGTATAAGGGTAATTTTTGTGAAAAAGATACTAATGGGGGTATTGGCCGATTCAAAAAACACTTTGCTGGTGTTAGAGGTAATGTTGCTTCTTGTACAAAGGTTCCTGAAGCAGTTCAAGATGAGATTAGACATCTTTTAAATTTTGAAGAACAAAAAAAGGATGAAAATAAGCCTTGTTCTATGGAAGTATCTTCTCCAGTTTCTAGTCAGAGTAGTGATCTGGGTTGGAAGTATGGTTATAACCCAAATCCAAGTGATAAAAATCGTATTAAATGTAATTATTGCGGAAAGGATACTAATGGGGGCATTTACCGGTTTAAAAAACACCTTGCCGGTATTACGGGAGATGTTGCCCCATGTAAAAATGTTTCTGAGGCTACCAAAGAGGAAATTATACAATATTTAAGTTCAGAGAAGCACAAAAAAAACGGGTAGAGCAGTCAAGACTCCTAGGGCCTCATCTGCACAGATTGCACATGCTACTAAGAGGAAGGTAGAAGAAGAGGAGGAGGAAGAGGTAGATTCAGAAGAAACAGAGGAGGACGAGCGTTATATTGAAGAGGGAGATGACTTTGATGATAATGGCCATGACTCTGATGCATATGATGAGGCTTGCCCTATTGATATTCCTTCTGATGATGATAATGATGATGATGATTGAAGACTCTTGCCTCTTGGTGCTGACTGCTGAGTGTTGAGTTTGTTGACTGTTTTGTTGAGTTATGAGTGTTGACTTTTTTTAGATTGTATATTTTCTAATTTTTTGTATATTTCTGTTGTGTTGAGTGTTGACTTTTATATCTTACACTTGTATGGTTTTACAGTTTACTGTTTTAACAATATGGATTATCAAAATTCTCATCTCGACTTTAATCTTTTTTTCTTTTTTTTTTTTCAACTTGGAATATGATATATTAGGATTTTTACTTTTTTGTCAACTAGGCAGTCGCCCAGGTTCTGGGCACCCGCTTAGGACCCACCTAGCACTTTTTGATACATTGGGCAAACCTTAGGGAGCCAACTGCTTCTTAAAAGGTGTTTTTGATAAAAATATTTAATAAGAGTGTTTCGCTAGATTGGTACACTTAAAAAGTTTTGGAAATCCTGTAAATTAAGTTGTCGACAACATTAAATTTGAGGGGATCTTTCCCTATAGTTAAGCCATCATATATCATGAGTAGTTAGTACTTTTTCCCTCATTACTGATGGTGTGGTAATATTGAGCTTGGTAAGTTGGCAGTTTGTGGACTCGTGGTTTTCTTTTTCAATAGTTGACAAGCTCTGTTAGTTATTTATTAGAGTAGAGGAATCTTGAGAAGATAATATGGTGGCTCACGTCAATAAAATGACTTATGACGGTTATTGGGAGTGAACTACATTTATGTATTAAAGAATTGCATTCTGTTTATAGTTGTTATTGAGCTGAGAAACAAGGGCTTGTTTTTGCCTCCTACATTTGTTAATTATTGGTCTATGTTTCCATTGGGCATGGAGCTCCTATATATTGAAGTTCCATTTCTTTCCACTTAGTAAAGAGAGAAGTTCCTTGGCCGTCCGAGTTTTATATAGAATAATAACAAAACTGACCCAAAGTGTATTCTCAAAGAGAAAAAAAGGACCGAAGCAAACTTGGTATGTTTTGTCCTCATGGCATTTTTCTTGTTTGGCATTTTGCAGATGAAGTACTTGCATCTATAGATCCTAAAAAAGTGGAGGTTCACCAGAGGTACTGAATTCACTTATATCATTGTCTACTTTACTGCTATGCTCTGTGCCATTATGCGCCACTGGGTTATTAAAAGCTTCATATCACTTCATTTAAAGATGTGAGTTATTCATTTGTATGGTGAAATGCACAATCTGTGATCTACATGTGTTGAATGATCGATCCAGGGAGTTCCTGCTAGTCTGCTAAACATTGTTCTGTTTGCGAATTTTTTTGACAAACTGGCTTATGAGTTGTGTTGAGCACTATTTTCCCAATCTTGGTATCTTGTATATAACTGTACTGCACATTGACCATGATATGAGCCACAATAATGGTTGGAAAAGGTGCCACCTTGGGCATCTCACCTATGTCAAGGAGGGCCCCTTTGTGTGCCAACCCTAGTGCCTGAACTGAGGTGTCTGCCTCAGGTTGTCCATGGCTCGAGGCTGAAATGTCCTTGAGCCATAGTCCCATTTGGTCTTCCTCCCACCATATTAAAAGGGGGAAGATGTTGGGACATTGCAAATAAATAAATAAAAAACAACCCACACCAAACAAACAAACAAACAAAAAAAGAGGTTAATGAGTAGGAGGTTTGGGCTCACCAAAAAATTTACTTTCTCAAAAAAAAAAAAAATACACATAGTTTCCTAACTTCTTCTCTAACAGAACACTAAAAAAATTCATACTATTGAGGCCTTTTGAAGATTGAAAAAAGCTAAGGAACTTTGAGAAATCATATCAAATCCAATTTTTTTGGATATGAGTCTTTGTGAATTATCAAGAGAGGTTACAAGGGGAGATTTTGGATGGTTTAAAGCTCAATAATCATATAAACATCAAGGATTGGATTTTCTTACGTGCATTATGTATAATTTATTGATGTTGAATGAAATTATTAATGCTTTTAGAAAAAAATTAAGATAACACACACACATACGTACATGCATATATATATATATATATATTAATTTATTGGTTTATTGCATGCATGATATATAATTATGTCCTGTGTGTGTGTGTGTGTGGTGTGTGTGTGTGTGTTTGTGTAATATACATATACATATGGCTGGGCCGCCTCATGACCGTGGTACCTGCCTAGGCAGCCTATAGTTAACAAATCGCGCAACCTAGGTGTTGATCCCGCTCTGGAATCTCACTCCAGTGCATCCAAATAGGCATCTCCATGAGATCTTGATCCCCACTTTTTGGGATCGCTCCTAGCCACTTGGAAGGGGCAATAAGAGGCAAAGAAGGTGATTTGGATCTTAGTTGTGATCGTACTCTCTCTCTCCCTCTCTCTATAATGCTTATGGATGTAGTAAATAGCGTTGGCAATGGGTCGGGTCCGGCTGGACCTGACCTGAATAGTATTCAGGTTCGGGTCCAAAATTTGGACCCATACCCAGACCCGTCGGGTCCCGGGTCTGGTCGGATCCAATGCCACCTTATGACTTATGAGGTTTTTTTTTTTGCCTCTTTTTTTTTTACCATCATATACCCTATGACTATGAGCTTCATTTTTTTGCCAATAATATTGTAAATGTTGCCAATATTGTGACAATATGAACACCTAGTGCGTGTCCAAAGACACAATATTGCCATCATATACCCTATGACTACAGGTACGGGTCAGGTATGACTGGACCCGGACCCGAATAGTTTTTGGGTCCAAAATTTGGACCCATACCTAGACCTGAGGTCGGGTATACCTGTCGGGTCTTGGGTCTAGTCCATTGCCACCCCTAGTTGTAAAATGTAAAATTGCAGATAAAGAAGCTTGTTATGCTTTTGGATGCAAAGTGTGAAACTGTATATAAAGCAAACTTTTTTATGCATAAAAACTTAGCTCCCTTGTATTGTTATCACTTACCTTAATGTGCCTCATCATAGTTTTTTTATTGTATTTTGTGGGATTATATAAAACCTAATTTATTAATTAAATACAATTTAATTAATAAATAATTACTTTTTTAGTGCTGCCCATGACTTGTATGACCATTTTTATGACTTCATGGGATTCTTGGATTTTTTTATTTTTAACAAAATTTGTAATTTTACTATTAGTTTAAAAAAATTATATGTAAAGCGCTTTTGTCGTAGGGAGCTTCTTGCATGTGTTTTAATTTTTACTATTAGTTTAAAAAAGTTATATGGAAAGCGCTTTTGACGTAGGGAGCTTCTTGCATGTGTCAATCCATCTCTCCGACTCCCGCCCCTTCTCCCTCTCCAAGCAACTAGGGGGCAGCCGAATTGGCCAGCCCCCTCCTTTCCCCAAGCACACCTGGCAGCCTAGCTGTTTTTAAAAACCTTGCTGCAATTAATTTAAATTGGAAAATCCAAACTTTTTGTTTTCTCCTGTGTATCATCTTTGCTCGGTTTCCTTCTAGGTATCTGCAGTGGTTGATAGAAGATCAAGGTTCAGATGAGTCTTATTTTCATACAATGTATGCCCTTTCTCTTACGAAGGCAGTGATTGAGACCTTCCAAATGGAAAGCAGTCATCAAAACCTAGAGCCTTGCAGTGGAGAGAGGATCACCTTGTCTGATGGTGAAAGTAGCTCTCATTTTAGCATTTCAATCAGAGAGAAATTGCAGTTATTTTTACAGTCTTCTGACTTATATGATGCCGAAGCTGTTCTTGATTTGATTGAAGGATCTAAACTTTGGTTAGAAAAGGTATAGCAAATTATGGATCCATTCTGATTTTCTGAGTTATTCATATTGTCATATTTTTGTCTGGTTGCGAAAGTTGCAAATTTTATGGTATCTTCAAAATTAAGTTTCTTTTTACTTGCAAGGTTGCATTGTATAAATTTATATCTCTAGGAGTTGGAATTATCATTCACTCACAAGAAAAAGAAAAAATAAAGTTGAAAATATTATTCCTTGTAGCCATTTAAGTCCATGCTGTCCAAAAATATAATTCATTAATTAGTTTTTACACTCTATGCACCATGTTTTATGACCATGCTTCATGTATGGACTCGCAGAATGATATTTATCCGTTGTATTAGTTTCAGTGCACATGCTTTTGTGGGCATACTCATAATCATTCACTTGTCCAGCATTTTCTTGAAAGTATAGTAAGTGATGCAAATTCATCATCACAAGTGTGAAATCAAATCAAATATGTTGGCCGCAATTACTGGGAATATTGCAAAATCGGCTGTATATTACATTGCTATTGTGCAATGCCGAAAACATGAGATTGATGTTTTTGTGTATTGGTCTATAACTTTACACTATTCAGTGGATGCGCATTTTACCAGAGTATGCGTAGTTAATAATCTTGGTGTTCTTTGACAGGCAATTTTATACCGAAAGTTGGGACAAGAGTTCTTGGTACTCCAGATTTTGGCATTGTAAGTTATATGCAGCCAAAACTATTTTAAGCTCATGGTCTTAAACAACCTGACAGTGAAGACTCAGGATATTACTTGGTCTTGGAAGGTATCTTGGATGTTTAATAACCTATATTATAAATTTGGGCTCGTTTATCATACAGGAAGCTGGAGGACAGTGAAGCAGCAGAGAGATATTGTGAAGAGATTGGTCGAAATGATGCTTACATGCAGTAGGTTTTATATGAGATATCACTTGCTTTAACTTAATCTGGTGACCATCTTGAATTCTCAGCTTTTAACTTCTTTCCAATGTCATTGACTTGAGTCTTGTTGCAGGTTACTTGATATGTATCTGGATCCACAGAATGGTAAAGAGCCTATGTATAATGCTGCTGTACGACTTCTCCATAATCATGGCGAATCTCTGGATCCACTTCAAGTGCTAGAGGTAGCGAACTTCCCTCTAATATCCCATAATCAATATTCTCCTTTAATTGTTGGCAATCCCATGCTGCAAGCACACAGTCAATTTTATTTTTATTTTTTTTAAAAAAAGGCAATGTCCATGCTCTGTCTACCTCTTCAAGTACATCATGTAGTGTTCTCTGTAATCTGCATGAATATATTTTGGTCCAAACTATGAAATCTTTTGGTTGTTGTAATTTTGTTCGTGATAGGGAAAGAAAGTTGCTTCAAGTTTGTTGTTTATTGATTTTCAGCTTGTGAAGTTGTTCCAGGATTCTAATTTTGGTTTTGTACATTACTGTACCAGACATTATCCCCAGATATGCCACTCCAACTTGCTTCTGAAACGATACAGAGAATGTTAAGAGCTCGGGTTCATCATCATCACCAAGGGCAGGTAAAGCCAACTATCATTGTGTAGTAACGTTGTTGTTTGCATTCCACCATATGAAATTAAGTCCCCATTTACTTATCATGTTGCAAGTTATGTTTTTGTGTATTTAAGGGCAGGGGGAATGTTTGTACAAAAGGAAGGGGAGAGAGAGAGAGTAGCTTTTTCTTTTTCCATTTGAGAAGTTGATGTATAAAGATGTTTGGATGTCATAAATCCGAGCAGAGTGAATCTCATTGTTTTGATAACTTCTTTTTTTTTTGTTCTTTTCAAACTGGGGTGGATTTTGTAACATCAGATTGTTAAATTTGTTGAGACCCATTTGTATTAGTCCCTTTTTTTTAATGTTAACCGGGGACTGCTGGGATTGGAACCCATCTTCCCTCGATTCTTGTTATGCAGATAGTGCATAAGCTATCACGTGCCATAAATTTGGACAGTAAGCTTGCCAGATATGAAGAGAGATCGAGGCATGTTCAGATCCATGATGAGAGTGTCTGTGATTCCTGCCATGTGCGCCTGGGTACCAAACTCTTTGCCATCTATCCCAATGATTCAGTTGTCTGTTACAAGGTTCGCCCTCAATATAACTTTTTAAATATTTATTGGTTAGATAACAATTAAAAAGAAAGAAACCATTTTCTAAGACAATTTGATGGTAGAATGCGACTGTGTATAATATGGTAAAAATTCTTCGAAAGACAGGTTTATCACTTTATTTGGGCTGATGGGGAAAATCTACACTGGAGAGCACGAGAAAATCTACACTGGAGTGCACTAGTCTCATAATGCATCATACTATTTTGTGATTTTAAATCTCTCTCTCTCTCAACCTTCAAGCATTATTCTGTTTCGTATTTCTGTCCCTTTAACAGCCCATGCACGTGTGTGCCCAGCTGCCGCACAACCTTCAAGTATTTATTGTGTTTCTTAACAATCTATCTAAATGGAAAACTACACACACACACACACACATACTCAAACACACACACACTCACGCACATACTCAAACACACACACTCACGCACACCATTCTAATGGTGAACTTGGCATTTTGTACTCTAAATTTTTTTTTCCATATTAGAAAACTAGTTTTTACTTGAATTATTCATGCATTTTGGGAAGGGTTTTCTGTCATTTAAAAACCCTTTCCATGAATCAACTTCAAATTTGAAAACTTCCTTGTACTTTTTGGATCATGTTTCGATTTGGGAAACAATTTAAAATTATAAATATGCCTTTTTTGTATAAAAATTTAAACAAGTTAAAGCTAATCCAATTTTTAGATTTGTAGGGGTTTATTGTGATCCCTGTAAAATCAATTATAAATTTTAAAGAGATTCTTTTGACTTTTGAATCATATTTGAATTTCAAAAGCAATTTAAAATTACAAAATATTCTCATCCAAAACTTTCAAGCAAGTTGTTGCAGATTTCATTTTTAGGTTTGCAATGGTAATTTCTGGACAAAGGAAACGTGCTTGGGTCCAAACGGTGGAGGCTAGCATAGCCCAACGTCTCAAGTTCCATTCCTATGTAACCTTGTCAAAAAAAAAGTTAATTTCTGGACAAAAAAATTAGGTACAAAATTCCAAGTAATTAGAGTGGTGTGTCCTAGAATAACCCTATATTACACACACACACACAACAATACAACACAACACACACTCGAGAGAAAAATCAGCGATCGGGCCCAGCAGGGTTTTAATGTATTTTTTTTTATGGAGAATCATCTGAGTAAGACTGCCAATTCAGCTGAGTCGTCCTCTGACTAGGGCTCAGACTTTGGCAAGTCGAGCTTGAGTCTAGGCTTCTTAATTACTAAGAAGAACCATTTATAGTCTGAGTCAGCCTCTTGTCTTGGGCTCGAGACCCTGGCGGTCTGAACCTGAAGCCAGGCTTTTAGTCCCTAAGAAGAACCATTTCATATGTCTGCATCCATACAAATATATTAAGGAAGTGTGTACGGTAAGACCATTTACCTTTGATACAAGGTGGTCACAATCATCATTGACTGTCAGATTTGAAATCGGGTTAATTGAGGTTGTTATTGTTTGGGCACAAAGTCCAAAATAAAATTTCTCGAATGTCGTGACAGACTTTCATCTACTGTATTACATCCAATGGGCAAAAGTAATTGTCGGAAGTGTATACAATGAGACCATTTAAGGTCACAGTCATCATTGAACATTAGATTTGAAATTTGGGTTGTTGAGGATGTTAGCACAAAGTCCAAAAATAAATTTCTCGAATGTTGTGACACTTTCATCTATTGTATTTCACATTCAATGGCAAAAGTAATTGTAACCTCCTTGTATCCAAAATAAATGGTTTCAGACTATACAATCCTATATATTTAATCCATTATGCACATGCCTCTGTGTTTGTTGGCCTGATTTCTTATTCTTCTTAAAAATGCACGCAAATGTAAATCTGTATGCCATGCAGGCATCTCACATATCTCATATCCTTGTTTCTGCATAAGCTTCTATTTGCTATTACTGATTAATTGCTGTGCTTTTGGAGACTTATGCATCCTTTCTTTATTGAAATGTCAGTGTTTCCCCCATCTCACATATCTCATATACCTGTTTCTGCATAGGCTTCTATTTGCTATTACTGATTAATTGCTGTGCTTTTAGAGACTTATGTATCCTTTCTTTATTGAAATGTCAGTGTTTCCGCCGTAGTGGGGAACACATTTGCCCTGTGACTGGGCGGGACTTCAAAAGAGAGGTGATATTCAAGCCTGGATGGCTTGTGAAGAAACCCTAAGAGGAAGCATATACTGTGAAAAATGAAAGCCGATTAGGTTACACTGTGCCCCAATCATTGATTTGCATGGGTTTTCGACTGGTTTCTGATGGGACTTGTTGCTGGAACTGAAGGTTTTGCCGAAAAACAAAGAGAAGGGGTGCTGAAAAGTTGGTGGTGACTGGTAAATTGGGGTTAAAATGGTACACTATGGTATGGGGGTGTGTACTAAAGGTAAGAATTTGGAAGGTTGGAGGGACTACTTGTACAGCAACATGTTCTGTTGTGTGTGGTATTGAATGGTCGATATCATCCCAAAAGGATATTTAGAGGGTCCTGATTTTCCTTTTGTTGTGAGAAACTTAATTTGGACCCTTCATTTCGGGGCGCTCGGAAATTTTAGGGTAGATGATTATTATGTAATATGTTTGACAAGCAGTGTAGTGAATTTCCATGCTAAACTTGGATTTAGAAATTTGAAAGGTTGGCTGAGGTGTCTCTCTCTCTCTCTCTTTCTCTGCAACATGAAATTAGAAATTAGAAAGGATGGCTGAGGTGGTGCTCCCCCTTTCTCTGGCTGAGGTGGCTGAGGGTATTGAAGAGTCGAGAACGTCCCAAAAGGATTTAGAGGGTCCTAAGTTTCCTTTTATAGTAGAAACTTAATCTGGACCCTTCATTTTGGGGCGCTCGAGCTTAGTCAATGATAGGGTAGATGATTGTTATGTGATTTGTTTGACAAGCAGGGTAGTAAGGTTCCATGTCACACTTGGAATTAGGAATTAGATATGATGGCTGAGGTGGGGCGACTCTCTAGGATGGCTGAGGTCTCTCCCTCTCTCACAGTATTCATGTTTGCTCTGTTTGCTCTTTAGCACAACCACTACATGCTAATACATGAAGGCCACCATTGTTACAAGGATCAGGAGTAGCGTTAAAGAGTCAATGACAGAATAGCTCCTCTCTCTCTCTCTCTCCTCTCTCTCTCTCTCTCTCTCTCTCTCTCTCGTCGTACTACTCGACTACCCTACGTACGTACGTACACGTACTACGACGTACGTACGTACGTACGT